ACATTTGAATTCATCAACAGTGCCTCGCCCAATCTGGCCTCGTGTAAGCGGTCTTGTGGAAGATCTCCATAAGGAAACCAGCAAAAGTGACGCCCCCGGTCAGAAGCAAAATGCGCTTGATATTGTCAAGCAAGATTTACGGTATGTAACGTCCATAAATGTACTTCCACGTCGTCTTCGCTCACGCACTAAGTCAGTTAATCAAATTCCAGGAAAGGGTGGAATCTATGATGAGTTTCCCGAACACATTCCTTTTAGAGACAGAGAGGACTCTGATATATCCAGATACTTCAGGAATGACAACCAAAGTACTGGTTACCAACTTATGTCACTTCATCCAGATTCTTTAGTTTCTGAAGACACACTTCGTATGATGAGGTATAGCCAGCATGAGGATCTCTTTCCTGAAGAGGACGATCTTGAGTCAGCAATTCAGTTTACTTCAAGAGAATCCCCCCTGATGATGCCAGATTTCAGCCAAGCCATGTATACAAGAGGACTTTATGCGACATTGAATAGAGCAGCTTCTCTTAACACAAAAGATATCGTCAAACCCCCTTATAAAAACAAAAGCAGAAGCTTTGATATTACTCACCGAAGCTTCAAGTCAAGTGTCAAAAAAAAGGGATTGGCAAATGTTAAAGACCTTTGGGAAAAGAGTGGACTAAAGACAAATGGTAGAAAACTTTTAGTGGACGTTAGTGAAGGGATATCCAGCAAGGGGGAGGATCATGATGAATCACGGAAACAGGCTTTCAGCGGCAGCAATATGCAGCAGCTAAAAAGCCTCGAGTCTATCCTCATGGTTACTGAAAGTCGATCCGCAAAGTTGGATAGCAACGACACTCTTTTAACGATGCAAAGTTCCCACACTTATGAAGACCTCACCAGTTTTGACAGCAAATATCCTAGTCATCCAAATACCGAATCCATGGAAAGCAAGTCGTCTGGTACGTATGCTGAAATAGGCGACATTATTATAGAAGGTATTGAAAACCCCGCTTTCCTTGGGGACGAAGAGCACGCTGAATATACCAGTGCACAGCCTTCCGCTCTCGTTGATAACAGGAAGAAAGCAACTAACAAAAAAGTGCTAGACCCGGACAGACTTGCACAGTTTAAGAAAAAAATTAATGAAAAATTACAGGGTGCCCCTCTGCACCGCATGCAATGGCTGGATCTTGATGAAATAGTAATCGATGACATTGGAGATAGACAGGAAAGAAGGGTAAAATTTACTGCAGACACCTTCAACCCGAACAGCATGAGGCGGGAGGTAGGAGGCAGCCATCAAGACCGACCGTTTCCAGGCGCAGTTGTCAGACAATATCCAACTGACAAAGATGACGCTATGGAAGGAAGCAGCCCTCAGAAAGTTAGCCGAGACTCAAGTGAAGTTGGCCGAAGGGGTATATGGACAACTTCCGAGAGCTACCGAGAAAGATTCCAGGTAAAATATCATTACGTCGAATGTTAGCAACATTTGATTAGCACAAAATTATTTTGATATTGATATATTGCTTAATAGTTAATCCATTATAATGAAGGTGATAGGTCTAAAAATATCAATAATGATAATGATAATACTTATGGTAATAATAGCAACAAGAAGAATGATTCTTCAATCAGCAAGAAGATCAAGAATTATTAAATGATAGTAATGATGGTCATAACAGTAACATTAATAATTATGATAATAATGATAATGATAATTACAATAATAAATATAATGATTATAATGGTAACAATAATATCAATGTTAATAGTGAGGATAATATTAATGAAAATAATAATAACTAACATTGATAATGATAACAATAATATTAATGTTAATAGTGATGATAATATTAATGAAAATAATTATAACTAACAATGATAATGATAACAATAATGAAAATTAAAATATTAATGCTAATATTAATGACAATAATAATAACAATAGTAAAGATAATGATAATACTAATGATAATAATGATAACCATAATGACAACGAAATTAATAATATAATAATAATGATAATAAAAGTTTTAATAATGATAAAATAAAGATATTATTAACAGGGATGATACTGATAAATAATAGCAATAATAATGATACCAGGAATAATGATGATGATAATAATGATAATAATAATAATGATAACGATAATAATGACGATGTGATAATAATAATAATATGGATAATAATAATGATAATAATAAATATTATAATAACGATAATGATGATTGTAATGAAGATGGTGATGGTGATGATGATAATGATAGTAATGATGATAATTACAGTGATAGAGATAATGTAAATAATGATAATAAAGGCAAAGTACTATGAATACAAACCCAACAACGTGTAATAGATGGATTCCCTTTCATTAATTACTTGATGAATGAGTTTCAAACTTTACAATTCAGGTTCTATTTCTAATTGTTTTTTTTTGTTTTTTTCTTGTCACAAAATGTGATAAATGTAATTTAATTATGATACTGAATGAAACAGGACCCAAAGCATTTCTTCCTAGGCTATAGAATCCAAAACATTATATTCATCTTGCACGAGGAGGTTCGATTCAGTAACTACATGAGACGATTCTAGTAGAAATCCCTGAGCTCGGCCTAAGACTGAGAGGAATTTCAAAACGGATTATTGAATTAATAGTAAACTGTATATTGGTACTGAAAGTGCTAGGTGGGGGCCTGTTGAGCTTCTTCCTTGTTAGTTCAGGAGTGAGGCAAGGCTGTGTTCTTGCTTTTCAACTTTTCAACAGTTGCATGGACTGGATACTGGATAGAGCTACTGTCCAAAGTCACTGAGAAACAATTCTGGGCAATATCAATATTACAGAGCTTGACTTTGCTGATGATGTTGCTATTCTATCTGAATCTCAGGAAACCCTAGTGGCGGCTCTTGATGCATTTAACAGTGAAGCGAAGCCCCAGGGATTTTGGGGGTCGGCTAGGAGATCCTGTTCAATCAGTACGTGTTTGTGGTGAGAACATCAAGGTCACAGAGAGCTTTATAAACCTCGGTAGTGTAGTTCATGACTCTGGGCTGTCAGACCAGGAAGTCAGTAGATGGATTGGCCTATCATCAGGGGTTATGAAATCTCCCAACAAGAGTATCTGGAGAATACAATAGTGAAATCTGGACGCTATCTTGTGTTTTGGAATCTCGTCTTGATGCATTTTGTAACAGGCACTTGCATTGGATCATGGGGTATAGTTGGCGGAACCATGTGTCCAACCAATGTATGCACTGCGAGACTGTTACCGGACCTGTTACCTGCACAATCCGCGATTGGCAACCAGGCTATGCGGCCACCTGGCTCGTTTCCCACAAGGTGATCCTATTCGAGGTGGAGGAGGCATGTGGGCCGGGAAGAGTTACAGATAGGCCAGGCCTCTGTCTAGCGGCTTGCCATGAGGGACCCTCTTAGGTGGAAGAAGGGTGGATGCAGCTATGCGCCCCGTCAGCATTAGCTCCTCAATGACGATATGTGTGTAATGAGATCGCAAGTGACAACGAACTCCGGCTTATAGTTCAGTTCGACCATAGTCAAAGGCTATAGGAGCTCACCCTATACAAAACATCCCAAACAGGATGGTGTGTGCCATTCCTTTGGATCCATCAGCTGCATGGAGAGACAGAGCTTGCTTTCGTCCAGGCGAAATGCCATAGCCGACATTGGTGGCCTTCGATATATATATATATATTCATGTATACATACACACACACACACACACACACATATATATGTCTGGCAGTCTCTATGTATGTGTAATATATATATATATATATATATATATATATATATATATATATATATATATATAGGGCAGCCATTAACTATATACAGTTAATGGCTGCCCTGGAGTCTGTATGTACGACCACGTGTCCTTCCCTCAGAGATACTGAGCAAGGGCTCCCATGATTGTAACTGCCTCTGCCTGTGAACCCTTTCCATTGGAGTCGGTTTAGTGCCATCCTCTCAGTCGTCTTGGCCAGACAGCTGAGGAGAGAGATGGGGCAGACTTCCTTGGCTCCTTTGATTTTGGGATGGGAACTATGGTAGCCCTCTTCCAGCTCTGGGGTAGAGTGGACTTGGTGAAATTATGGGGTACAAGATCCCATCAGGACTTGTGCCTGAGCAAGAACAGTTTTTCTTAGTTAGAGAAGAGATAACATCTGAGTTATTGGGTTTGGCTGCTCTTTCTTGGATATGAGCAAGTCTGCCTGGTTGTAGGCATTCTTGGTTTGCCCTCAGTCCAGTTGGCAGACTGTTGCTGCTTGTTGTCGCAGAGAACACATGCACCAGTCTGTGTGTGCACCTCGGGGCTGCACGTGTGGTAGCTCACCTGACCCGTTGCCACAGCTCTGTAAGGGTGGTCTGGTGGCCACTTGTCCTGCCTGACTTTTGACAGATTCCTTGGTATCCCTGACAATTTTCCTTAGGAGCTCTGGATTGTCAGGGATTCTTTGCCTTCGAAATTGTTTTCATCACATGTTCACTCTGTGGTTGACTTCCTTAATCTCATCATTAAATCACCAGGCATTTTTGTAACTCATGGACCTAGGCTGAGTTTAAGTATAGTCTAAGAGATTGTTTCATTTATGGTACTGATAAGTCTGGTTTCAAACACTTCCACATTTTCACTCTGTAGGGGTTCATTGTATCTAAGACAGAGGGTCAAGGCATTCTGAAAGGCTTGCCAGTTAGGACTCCTCCTCTGACACGCGTTGGCTCTTGGGTATTAAGAAGAGCGATATCGGGGAATTTGTCATGCACACTGGTTATTTGATAGCCTGCCGCATCAGGTCCCCAGCAGGGAAGCAGGATGGGGTGGGGAATGTTGAAGTCTCCCCCTATGATCACTCGGCCTTGTATTGCAGTTGCACAAACCTAGCTGATGTCTAAGCTCCTACAGCCTGGCCTGCTGTACACATTATGCAGTTTGAGCCCCCCCCCCCCACCAGGTGAATCTCAACAGCAAGAAATTCACTGTCATCTACACAGTACAGTGCATTGGCTATTGCAGAGCAAGGGATAGTTGCTCTGAAAAGGATGATCAAGCCTCTGTGAAGACATGATACCCTGAGAAGCGAATAGTCCTCTTTGTTACTGTCTCCTTCATTGTGAAGTCCATTTCTGTTTTTGGGCTGTTTGTCAGACTATCCATGCATGGGAGGTGGAGAGCTTTAGGTAGCACTGACTTTTGTTGGCTTTTCTTGTCAGGCTTTGTCTGTCTTTCCAAAACAGGCTGATAGGTAAAGCCAGCAAGCTTTACTTGTCAGCCTGTTTTGGCTCTGCCTGTGAGGTCTTGGCCATGGTTGGAGTAGGGAGTTTCGTCCTATGATGGGGTAGAGGCTGGTTTGGCCCTATCCAACTTCCTCACTTTCGGGGCTGCAACAGTCAGGGTCATTGCTGTTATGGCGACCGTGACTATTTTCTCCTCCTCCCCAAAGCTGTTGCTACTGCAGTGACTACAGCAGTCAGCAGGAGAGTTATATCTCCCTCGTCAGAGAGATGATCGTCTCTTGGGAAGAGCTTTAACAGAGTTTGAACCTTTATTCCTTTTGTTTATTTTCTGCACACTTTTAATGGCCTGAAACTTTTTTTTATTGGAGGTGTCTGGTGTCGGCTATGGAGGTGCTTCCTTCATCTTGGGAGGTCAAGAACCCTTTTCTCTTTTGTTCTGTCCTCAGACATGGGTGCCTGCTTTTTAGCAACCTCTTGTGCACATACACATACACATACACATACACATACACATACACATACACATACACATACACATACACATACACATACACATACACATACACATACACATACACATACACATACACATACACATACACATACACATACACATACACATACACATACACATACACATACACATACACATACACATACACATACACATACACATACACATACACATACACATACACATACACATACACATACACATACACATACACATACACATACACATACACATACACATACACATACACATACACATACACATACACATACACATACACATACACATACACATACACATACACATACACATACACATACACATACACATACACATACACATACACATACACATACACATACACATACACATACACATACACATACACATACACATACACATACACATACACATACACATACACATACACATACACATACACATACACATACACATACACATACACATACACATACACATACACATACACATACACATACACATACACATACACATACACATACACATACACATACACATACACATACACATACACATACACATACACATACACATACACATACACATACACATACACATACACATACACATACACATACACATACACATACACATACACATACACATACACATACACATACACATACACATACACATACACATACACATACACATACACATACACATACACATACACATACACATACACATACACATACACATACACATACACATACACATACACATACACATACACATACACATACACATACACATACACATACACATACACATACACATACACATACACATACACATACACATACACATACACATACACATACACATACACATACACATACACATACACATACACATACACATACACATACACATACACATACACATACACATACACATACACATACACATACACATACACATACACATACACATACACATACACATACACATACACATACACATACACATACACATACACATACACATACACATACACATACACATACACATACACATACACATACACATACACATACACATACACATACACATACACATACACATACACATACACATACACATACACATACACATACACATACACATACACATACACATACACATACACATACACATACACATACACATACACATACACATACACATACACATACACATACACATACACATACACATACACATACACATACACATACACATACACATACACATACACATACACATACACATACACATACACATACACATACACATACACATACACATACACATACACATACACATACACATACACATACACATACACATACACATACACATACACATACACATACACATACACATACACATACACATACACATACACATACACATACACATACACATACACATACACATACACATACACATACACATACACATACACATACACATACACATACACATACACATACACATACACATACACATACACATACACATACACATACACATACACATACACATACACATACACATACACATACACATACACATACACATACACATACACATACACATACACATACACATACACATACACATACACATACACATACACATACACATACACATACACATACACATACACATACACATACACATACACATACACATACACATACACATACACATACACATACACATACACATACACATACACATACACATACACATACACATACACATACACATACACATACACATACACATACACATACACATACACATACACATACACATACACATACACATACACATACACATACACATACACATACACATACACATACACATACACATACACATACACATACACATACACATACACATACACATACACATACACATACACATACACATACACATACACATACACATACACATACACATACACATACACATACACATACACATACACATACACATACACATACACATACACATACACATACACATACACATACACATACACATACACATACACATACACATACACATACACATACACATACACATACACATACACATACACATACACATACACATACACATACACATACACATACACATACACATACACATACACATACACATACACATACACATACACATACACATACACATACACATACACATACACATACACATACACATACACATACACATACACATACACATACACATACACATACACATACACATACACATACACATACACATACACATACACATACACATACACATACACATACACATACACATACACATACACATACACATACACATACACATACACATACACATACACATACACATACACATACACATACACATACACATACACATACACATACACATACACATACACATACACATACACATACACATACACATACACATACACATACACATACACATACACATACACATACACATACACATACACATACACATACACATACACATACACATACACATACACATACACATACACATACACATACACATACACATACACATACACATACACATACACATACACATACACATACACATACACATACACATACACATACACATACACATACACATACACATACACATACACATACACATACACATACACATACACATACACATACACATACACATACACATACACATACACATACACATACACATACACATACACATACACATACACATACACATACACATACACATACACATACACATACACATACACATACACATACACATACACATACACATACACATACACATACACATACACATACACATACACATACACATACACATACACATACACATACACATACACATACACATACACATACACATACACATACACATACACATACACATACACATACACATACACATACACATACACATACACATACACATACACATACACATACACATACACATACACATACACATACACATACACATACACATACACATACACATACACATACACATACACATACACATACACATACACATACACATACACATACACATACACATACACATACACATACACAGCTGGTTCTACTCCCATCTCGCTCAGCAAGAACGTCTGAGGGGAAGTCAGAAGTCTCCCTGATTTTGGTGCAGGCCTGGAGAGGCCAGCACGAGAGTTCATCTGCC